GATTGCAAAGATCTGGTTCATAGACATGAATGAAACACGTAATGCTTGCTGACTGCATGTGTTTCGTGCTATTTATATATTCATCTGTCTTAGAAAGAGCTTCAGATTATTTGCTGCATTCCATTATGAAAGGTTCTTGTGGCCTTCTCTGGAAAGGTTTTCCTGCAAGCTTTTAGCATCAGTGAGGAGAAGCAACTTTTCATTGTCACATAGATTTCCATTTAGTCTTGCCGTGGTAAAGGTTGAGTTTTTCCACTTCTTTTATCTCGCTTATGCAATCAGCAAAATGCTGTCACCATCCCACCCTCCTCCTGCTATTCTGTGCCACATCCGCAAAAAGCCTAAAGAGTAAGCACCACAAAGATTTTCGCCCAGTTAACACCGGAACCACCTGGTGGCAGGAAGCACTCTGGAAGCAGCAAACTGAGGAAAGAAGCAAGAAGGATAAGACATAAGGCAGGAGCATCCAGGCTTCTTTCTGCCTTCACATCTCTTTCTCGTGTTACATTACAGAGCTTGGCTCAGCTGATGGCCCATTGAGCCGCCCTTTCTGCTCTTACAGACATCAGAGACAGTTGGTGTTTCCCTCTTCCAGTCTGAAGTGACAGGACAATTTGGCCAAGTGTGTCAGCTAGCAATGCCCTGTGGATGCCATACTTGGCATTTAGGATGCCAGAGTACTTCCTGCACTGAGTATGTGGGATCAGGCCTGCAGCACCTGGGACTGCAAAGCCCAGGCAGGATGAGAGGGAGAGAGAGAATTGCAGCAATTGCCAAGGAGTATAATTTAAAAGTGGCTTAAAGAAAACGGGCAGAAGAAAACCACACACAAATAAACTTTGAATTATGTGTATTGAAAGCTGAGAGTGCGCTAGAGTGAAGGCAGTCTGTGTACTCTCAGTTCATCTCCTTTATCATCAGCATGCCCAGCTGCTTCTCCATGCAGATTGGGTGCCCTAAATAAGAACAACTCCACTGGGAAAATAAAGCAAACATTTCTTTACTTAATCACAGAATCATAGAATGGTTTGAGTTGGAAAGGACCTTAAAGATCATCCAGTTCAACCCCCTTGCCATGGGCAGGGACACCTCCCACTTCATTTTGAAACATACTTTTAATCTCTCTTCCCTGAAAAAGTAATGTGTATTATACTTCACCCCCAAAAGCTATATTAAGTTGTTAAGTATTCTGAAGTACAGGTGAGAACTACCATAGAAATTTCAAGCTGCATGTTATCTACAGCGATAAGCACTCCTTTCTACTACTTCATCAGGTAAACACTTCATGAGGCGTTCAGATTGTCTAAATTCCACAGTGTTCAGATACTTCCATACAAAGAAATGGGGTCATCTAAAGCTTGAGAGACCTTTTGCAAGGCCCTCCGATCTGACAGTCAGCCTACCAGAGAAGCCACTACTTACCTTTATTCTTGAAATTTGCCATCTTCACAAAAACACTCACCTGGTCAGCAGATTAAATTGTTTCATTGACAATCAAGAAATCTAAACAGAAGCTAGTAAGCTAGTCAGGCTGTTTGGAAACCTGTGGCAGAGACCATTGAAACTCAAAAAGCAGCAGGCCTTCAAGCACTCTGAATACAAAAGTTTCAGGCTATTTTCCATAAGCTTGAAGAGACCATAGGGCACTCACACGGCTGTTGGGAGTGCATAGCAGCCACAGGGCTGGACCTCAGAGTTGCAATCCTCTTCTCAGAGAAGCAGAGGTACTGCTATCTCAGTGTGATTTTCTGTGTTGCATTGTAAGAGTGCAGCATTAATTCCCATGCATGAATTATGGAGGCAGACATCCTGGGTATTATTATAAATTCTGAGTAAGTGAACAAATGAGTTTTGAAATGGGAGAATGCTGATTTGCACAAAGAGAGACGTGTTAGCATTCTGTGTGGGCAAAAACATGGCAACAGCACCTGCAAATAAAAGCATTGCAATATCTGTGTTTTTAGCTCTGTCCCCTCACAGTTCCTACCTAGCACATCATGTAATGCTTGCATGTTACTGTGATTTCCTTCTATTCCCGGTGACATTACATTGTAGTGCAGTAATGAGAAAAAAGAAAATCTCATGTAGACACAGCTGAGGAGAGAAATACCAAAACTGTGCATTAACCAGGAAAGATTTGGAAAGCTTCCCAATAAAATGAAAACTGAACTTTGGCCTTTCAAGAGCTCACTGGTACAACAGTCTAGATATTTGGTGGATTTATGATAAAGAAATGGTTATGTTGAAATAATGTTACTATACGTGTTCAAGTAGCATTACTAACTCACTAGTATTCTGAAATGTTGGGTTCAAAATGCAGTCTTTTGAAATACTGTGAGACCACAAGGTCTAAAGAGCATGAAGGGAACTTACTGCCCATTCTTTGATTTGCTTGCCACAAGCATCCTTTCTATTGTTTAAGGGTCTGTAAACATAAAGAC